AATTTACATTTCTTTGACAATTCAATCTTCTCATCTGATCTTGTGACACATGCTTGATCTTATTTCTAAGAACGCCGATGACTTCCTGAATATTATATAATAATATCGTCTCTCCCTATTCTGGATGTTACATTGACCCTGTTTGTTATTTGTCCTTCTCCCAGATCCCTCTCCCCATGCGAGGCAGAAGCCGCCAGCAGCTGACCTCAGCTACAAGACTGAAATCAGCAGCCTCATGGACTTCAACTCTCCGGACGCCTCCCTGGACAAAGGTAAGAGCCAATCACTGCTGTGGTGTTCTGCTTCAGTACCACTGGGATGGATGTTGTAGTAAAGGAGAGTTTATACAAAACTATTCATGCACACACATGCACAATAAGCTTTGCCAGGAGTACATCCACAAGACCTTGAGGTTGTGATAAAGTTAATTTAACATGGTCTGAGAGCAAGAGTAGCTTTAGTAGCACTTCTGCAGTCAGACTTCAATTATTCTTCCATTTCAGTATTGGCTGCTTGCACCTGTCACTTGAACGATGAATCCATTGCATGTTATTTTGACTGCTGCTGCTGGTCCAGGTTGCCCCTGGCTGCTAATGAACTCAGTGAGCTCTTGTCAGAGACGTTATAAGAGACTCCAACAATCTTGAGTAAAAAAAAAATCAAAGAACAACAAAGACGATGGGTGTATGACACATATCATGGAACATGGAATAACATCCAGAACAATCTAAAGCTCAATGCAATTTTATCCCAAGTAAAAGCTTTAGTCTCAGCTTGTTATACCCTCAACTTATTCCTAAGGCTTTTACTTTGGCTCTTATAATTTAGCAAAGATGACTGTTTCTTCTTAGTGTCTTGGAACATTTTGTTTATTTTCTTTACTCTGCCATATTGTAAATGACATCACTACCTAAATGGTAAAATAATGGTTGAATGAATGTCCCACGCTCCCTCCGATTTAAACCTTATTTTGGGACAAATTCATTTAAGCAGTTTTTGTCAGATTTTACTGGTGATTCTCTACAGGCAGTTTTTATTTCCTAGTGATAAATGAAATTGCAGTTGTTGCTCTTACCCCATTCATTCATTTACATTTAAAGGTTT